TCCGGGGGAAAGACTAAGAATCCCGAGTTTTGTTTTGCTTTTCAAGTTAAAATAGATTTACGCTGCTGGGGACTGGCCTTACTGCAGATGGCTTTGGGTGGTTGCAGAAAGCTGGTATTTAGTAAACCAAACTGTGACTGTGCTACAGAAAGAAACACAAATTTGTTGCAATAAGCATTTGTGTGAATAAACTAAAATAATAAAATCCCCAAGCGCCAGTGAAATTTTCATCTTTCCATACAACCATGGGTGTCATCATAGAGTAGTTAGTGGCCAGGGACACAGATGAGGAATGAATGAAGCAGCACGGTCGAGTGTCTAGTTTCTCCAATTAGCCTGGCTTCGTGTGCGGGCTACTGCAACTGTTGAATAGTCATTCCTACATCCTGACATTTGCACATTGAAAAACACATCCTCTGGTTTGCTCTCCTGCATGTATTCAACATCTGAATGGCAATGAGGTTTCTTGGTCTCATTAAGTACAACAGACCTCTCTGATCACCACAGGACAACCGTTACCACCAAAAGCCTGTTGCCCACTTGGTTTTAGGAAATTGACTTTTCAGTGTGTATGTGTGTATGTGCACATGTGTACATAAACACACACTTTTTTTTTTTTTTAATCAAGAGAAACAGCAAAAAGGCACCTAAAGAGGGAGCCTTATTTCTAAATTGTTAGGGTGACAGCACCTTGCACCTTTTGGATTTGGGTGGAGTGTCACCAAAGCAGGAATAGCAGGTGTCAAGAAATTGAAGGAGAACTCGCTGATAATCGTGTGGCATCGTACCTGGTTGCTCCTTTGACAGGGTTAGGACAGGGGACCACAGAGCGTGGGCAGAGGGGGAGGGGGTGAGGAGGAAAGCTTTGCTATCAGACAGAGGCTGCCAGTCCTTATGGGACTGGGCTGAGAACAACAAGGTGCAATAAGAGGAATCACAATACAAAGAAAAGCATTTCTTTCCCCAGGGCCGTGCCAAATTCCGCTCCGTCCCCTTTTCAGGTCTGCCAGCATGTCTTCGAGCTCCTTCTCGGCTGCTTGCTGAGTGACTCCAAGGTCACAGTCCCCACCTGGCTGATGGCCCTACACAGGATCTCCCTACCTGCAGCCTCTGCTTTTCAGGGGGGTCTCTGGGTTACAATTCCCCTTCTTTGCACCTGGTGATTCTCCCTATTAAGTCAACAGCCCAGAAAGCTGCCCCCAAGTGCTACAGGTAAGCCAGGCCAAATGAGAATAGCCAATGTTAACATGTTCTGCGATGGCATGTTGTTGGGGGGTGGGGCCTTTATTAATGTGATGAGGCAGCTTAATGCAACTCTCCTCGCACGGGGCAGGTGCGGGGGAGAGAGTGGAGGATCAAAGAGCAGCTGCATCACAGAGTTGGGGTTTGAATGATCTTTCCACCATGTGATCAGTTCTAGCATGCTTAAACAGTTCCATTGGCATGCAGAAGGATCAGCGGCTCTTAGTATCTTACCCTCATCCCTTCAAATCGTGATAAGGCTCTTAAGGGTCTCAAAGCTCTTAGGGTCCTAAGGGACTTTATGGCACCTAGTTCCGAGTAGCCCAGGGCATTAGCTACAAGGCTGACTAAAGAGACCTACACGGAAACAGAAGAGAAAAACAAAAAAGGAAACACAACAAAAAGAAAAAGAAAACAGAGGTTCCAGAGTGTTAGAACAAAGCCCCTAACACTGATCAGACAGGGTGGGCCCCCCAGGTAGAGGAAGTGGGTAACACCAGCTGCCTACTTCAACTTGGGCTCAAACGACCTGGAAGGAAAGGTGGTTGAGAGGCAGAAGGAAAAACACAAAGGAAAGAGAAAATCGAGAGCGGGCGGTAGACAGACGTACAAGTTGGGAAAGGGAAGAGGTTGAAGGGAGCGGGAGAGAATGAGGAAGTTCCATTGGAAGAAGAGGAGCCTGAACAGATGACAAAAACCTTACCCTCGCCCTTTACAGTCTCTGCAGGTCCCAGAAGTTCCCATTAAATTAAGCCAGACAAATTTAATGGTACCTATGGAAAAGAATACAGATAAATACACACACTCCACACAGGCCGCCCCCTCCTCAGCTTTCACCAGGGACTTCCAACAAGGACAAGCTCTCTTACTCCTGGGTGACAAGAAACCATTTGTTGAGGAATTTGATGAGTCACTACACGAACAAAGGCAACGTTCATAAGTACCACAGCTGACTTTCCAGTTCCCACGGAGAAAAGAACCAGATGAAGAAACTTCTTGACAAAATTTTGAGTCTCTGAGAACTCGCTTAAGTATAATTCTTCTATTTCTCATTTTTAACTATAACAATCCTTCCATCTTTTAACTATACCCCTGACTCCTCCCTGGCCATGAGGACATGGGTGGGTCTGCACAACTGCATCCATACTTTTCCCTATAATCCCCAGAACAGTCCACAGCAACCTGGCCTCAGGTCTGTCCTTTCCAGGCCAGTCTTCTAGTTCCTCATCATTAAAATAACAGCTGGCCAGATCCTTGGAAGAATTTTTAAAATTTTATTTTATAGATGAGGAAACTGAGACCCATATGCCCAAGACACAAGAGTTTGCCCGGGATCACGTCAGCAGCCCTGAAGCTAGGATGAAGACCACACTTCTGGTTCCCAGGCCAGGGCTCTTTCTTCCACAGACAGATGCCCTCCCGCACTGGCAGGCTGGGTTATAGGCATCCCAGTAGAGGATTGTAGGCATCTGAACAAGCCAAAGCTGAACATACTGGCATACTCAGGAGCAGTCGGCAGGCCCCCAGGCCTAGAGTCATGGTTGAATGTTTTCCTGCTCTTGCAAAGTCCTCGGAGCAGTTACCATTATGATCCTTTAACACTGGGTACTAAGTGCCTACACTTACAGCTGGGCCCGACCTGAGATCTGAAACACCTTTAGTTGCTCAAATCCTTGAATGGCTGGGCTCTGGGTTTCTTAGAGCAGTCTTTCCCTTGTTCTGGGATAGGTTAAGATGTTCCACCATTAACAATTCTTAAATTCCCTCTGGTTACAGGTCTGCTTAGCCTGAGTTGGTATTTTAAAGCAAATTTAGAGGAGAAAAATAAACAACTCATAGCTTAGTTTCATTTGTTGCTTCTCATCTCTATCTTAGGGATTTAATTCTGCATCTCTGAACTGCACCAAACTGTGTTGTTGTTTTTAAATGAAGATATTTATAATTGAGCAGCAGTACTGGCAGGGGGTAGAAGGAGGTTAATGACCAAGTGAGGGTCAAGGATGGGGAGCCTTAAAAGTTTCCATTTAAAAAAGGGTTGTAAACCTTTACCTATGCAAGTACTCATAATCCACCAATACAGGAATCTTCTCTGGATTCCTAGGTAGTGTCCAAAACAAATCCGGAATTAAATGCTGCCCTATTAGGCTACTCATGTTCTTTAAAAGGTACATATTCAGGGTTGAATTTCTGCCTAAGACAAGGGCCTCAAAGCCTTATCTAGAGCACACTAGCAACAACCAATCATTTTCCTTCCATCTACCATGGTCGATAAGACATGGAGGTGTCTTTTGCCCGCCATTGCCAATTACAGTCAACTCTTAAACACATTTAAATAATAGGGAGAGAGATAGAAACCTCAATGATGAGAATCATTGATTGGCTGCTCCTGCATGCCCCCTACTGGGGATCGAGCCGGAAACCCAGGCATGTGCCCTGATGGGGAATCGAACCGTGACCTCCTTGTTCACGGAGGATGATGCTCAACCACTGAGCCACACCGGCTGGGCTTAGCAAGATCTTAATAGGTAAGTCTGAAGGTAAGCTGTCCCATCCCAGTCAAGTGCCTGAGTTCTAAATACCCCTTATCAGCTCTGTCCTGTGAAACTGCCAGGTAAAGACTGCTGAAGGCCAAGCTTCCAGCGGCTATTAGCCCCATACAAAGCGAGAAGACCTCCAGCTCTTCTTTGGGGGGAGTGGTGGTGAGTATGATTTATCTGACAACAAAGAGGACTAAAGTGGGGAGGAGGTACAGATGCCAATCCAGAGGTTGGTGCTAAACGTTGTTGAGAGATAATCTGCGCTTGACTGATCAATCTGGCCAAGATCTCCCCAGGAAGACAGTAAGGATCCTAGCGGGGTTATTCCTTAGTAGCTGAGGACTTTCTGTTAAACAGCCTCCCTGTTAAACTCTCAGTGGAGATAGTGAGAACATTGCTCAAAGTATGCTTTAAGGAAAGAACCAAACCTGAAAAAGGAGTTGAGAAGTCAAAATTCAGATTATCGATGGCTGGAGGCAGGGGAAAAAAGGGAAAGGCATTGGGTGACTTTTTCAAAATGATGTGAACGTTTCAAACAGAGACCATTTCAGCAGTCTGAATTCCAAATGAGGTGAGTGGTCTCTGAAAAGTTCCAATCCCTGGAGCCAGCGTGCTGGCTAACTGTGGATATGACGGGGCCATGTTTTCTGGGGAAAAGATGACAAAACTCATCTACAGGAGAAGATCTCCAGTGTGGCCAAGGACCTGAGCAAAATAAAATGTCTCTGTTTGGGAACTCAGATGCTTATCAATACAGATAATTAACTTTATAAGTTATCTGGATTACCTCCTGATTCTAAAAAGTACTCAAAGTAGCTTAAAGGGGCAACAGGAGAATGAAAATTCATTAGGGAAACAAACACGGTGATGAATAAGAGATTCGGACGTCAGTCACCGGTGGATGACACCCTGGGAGGAAGAGAGTCTCTAAGAAATGATGCTGAATTGGGCCCCAAAATGTTTACGTTGCTGGGTGACCTAACATGCCAAGGGCACCAGATACCTCCCTCAAAGGACAGCGAAAACTCTGACAGTTCCAGCTGTCAGTCTAAGCCTTATTCTCCACCCACAGCTCAAAAATGGCAACCAGTGCGGCCATGGTTCACACCAGGGCTGTCCCTACTTAGCACACTCTGCTTCTGCTACGGCTGTCTGTATGTGCCTCATCTTTCAGGCCCTTAGAAGTGCCCGTATTCTACTCTCTGTATTTTCCCCCACAACACCTGGCAGCAGGCTGTGCACATAGTGGATCTCAATAAACATTTGATGCGCAAAGACTCAATGGACTGTTCTGCCTGACAGATGTGAACAGAAGGGGGGTCCTGGGAGAGCCTTGTCCCAGAATGCCTGATCACCACCAGCCTGAATCAGGCCACGGTGGCCCTGCAAGCTAGTGTGAGCTCCCCAGGGGGTGGAGCACTCCTGCCCGTCCCTTGAGACCCCCTATGGCTCCTGGGACAATCCCACACAGAGAATGGTATTTGCTTACTAATAACTGGTAGAGGTGTTCTCGGGAGCCACTGTCAGGCCTCATGGCAACGTGAGAACACAACAACTCCCCAAAGCTGGAGGGACTTACGGATTGTTGTTCGTTGGCTACATACCTGTCTCATGCCTCTTACTTCCCTGACACTGAGTATAAAAAGTGATTAAAAATGTTTGCTGAGTAAATGATGATGTGCAGAATTGTTAATGCTTTTAGCAGCTTATTTGGGTACAGAGGGATGTGAGATTCCTGATCGATATCCTCAAATTCTGGGGTTGCTCACCCCGAGAGGAGGAAGATAGTGGTTCAAGGTAGGGTGGGCAGTGGAGGCAGTAAAAGTCATGGTGGGAGAGATTTGTTCCAAATCGCAGCTTCCCTAGGGCCGTTGGAGTGCGGGAGTGGATATATCTGTCTGAATTCTTGGAAGGTCCAGAAGAGGAAGGGCTTCTTGGACTCCCATAGGTGTGCCACCTGACTCTCAGTGTGCCGTGCTCTAGAAAGAGAGCAGGCCCAGTTCTCTTGGCCTTCTCCCACGCCCCTCCCTTAACTCTGAGAGCTCGAGTCTCAGTCTGTGGGAGGCAGAGGCCCTTCTATCACAAGGTGCTATCAACAGGTGCTAAAGGGAGGGCTGAAACCTCTAAGTAGGAGGGTCGCGGCTGGCACCCTCTGCGGGACCACCTGTTTGGCTCACTTTAAGAGCAGAGTGACCTCCTCACTTCACTGAGGCAGAGGGACAGCTCCTGGAAGGAGTCATGAGCCGGGGAAGCTGCAGGCCTTGTTGGGAAAGGGATGCATTTACAGAGCAGAGATCACTGCTGCTGCCGAGTGCTGGGCGCCTGTTATCCGAGGAAGAGGTTCCCATGCTGCTCTAGCCTGGATCCCAGAAGCACGCCACAGAGAGCTCACCATGCAGCCAACACACCTATATTCTAAATGGACCGACTCAGCCTCCAAATGCTCTACTTGCTGGCACTTCTCAGCACTTTCTCTCCAATGCTGATTTGGGTGGGAGAAAAAGCTGTAGTTATTACACAGAATAAGAGACAATCACCACAGTTAGAAAAGCCAACAAGAAACAAGTGCTGGTGGGGTGAGAAATAGTTACAGATGCAGCGGCCTCCACCCTGAAAAATAACTCGGGATGTAATGGCCAAGCCTTGGAGATGGTCTTGGAACCTGAAGGAAAAAAGGATTTTCTTAAGTTTGATCGTCCCTGTGGGGAAGAGGGGGCTTTATGTGGGTGTGAGCTCCCCTCTCCCTGAGAAGCTGACTGGCTCAGATGAGTCTGGTCTGAAGACTTGAGCTGGATGGAAGCGTCACGGGAACGGACAGCAGGAGAGTCTACCCAGACCCCCCTCTCCTTGCATCCCGGCAGCACCCACCTCCTTCCCTTACCCCTCTCCTGGCAGCAGAAAGAGGACATCCTGCTGTTTGGGACAAGCGCCTTCCTGTTCCCAGCCTAAGAAACAGGGGCTTTGCTACCAAGGATTCCACTTCCCTTTCCCAATCTCTGAATTTTCTAAGCCAAACCGCCAGGGTACAGAGCTGGCTGGCTGGCTGGTCAGTCCCCGGAGCAGATGCATTCAGAAGTCCCTTCCCAAAGTGAAGATCTGACGGCTCTGAAAACAACTTACCCAGACCTACATCTATCTACATCTTGCCTTATGCCCAGGGCCCCAGGCCGCTCCAGCCATGAAAAGAAGAAAACTCCCTGTTTTTGCTTTCCTGCTAGAAAGGGTGGGAAGTAGAAAGCAGGACACGTACAGCCACAATGAGGAAGTCCAGCCAGCACCAGGCATTGGTGAAGAACTTGACGAAACCGTAGGCTGTCCACTTGAGCAGCATCTCCAGGATGAAGATGTAGGTGAAGACTTTGTCGGCGTACTCCAGCACGGTCCGGATGGTCCTCCTCTGCTCAATGTAGATGTCCTCGAAGGCCTGAAAGAGAGGCAGCAGCTCCCATCATGCCGAAGGGCACACAAGCACCGCCCTTGCCACAGCTCCTCCCACTGGGGCTGGCCTCTCCAGCTTCCTGTCTCTTCCACTTCACGCCCCTGCTACACGTGATTTTTTTTTAAGTTTTATTGAGCGATACCATACAATTCAGCTATTTAAAGTGTACCACAGCTTTTGGCATGCTCATAGTTGTACATCCATCACCACCACCAATTTTAGAATATTTTCATTATCCCTAAAAGAAAGCCCACATCCTCTAGCGGTCACCTTCTAGTGTATCTCCCCTTAGTCCTAGGCAACCACTCATCTACTTCCTTCCTCTACAGATCTGCCTCTTCTGGACATTTCATATAAATAAAGTCATATAATATGTGGTCCTTTGCCCTGACCGGTTTGGCTCAGTGGATAGAGCGTCGGCCTGCGGATTCAAGGGTCCCAGGTTTGATTCCAGTCAAGGGCATGTACCTGGGCTGCGGGCACATCCCCAGTGTGGGGCGTGCAGGAGGCAGCTGATCGATGTTTCTCGCTCATCGATGTTTCTGGCTCTCTATCCCTCTCCCTTCCTCTCTGTAAAGGGTCAATGGGATATATTTAAAAAAAATAATAATAATATGTGGTCCTTTGTGGCTCGCTTCTTTCACCAAGCCCAATGTTTTCAGATTTTGTCCATGTTGCAGCATGATGAAAAGGCGGCCTTAGGGCTGAGGGTGATCATGCTGAGTCTAAAGATCAGGATGTGGATTCTAATCCCAAAGGCTCAAAGCACCAGCCAAAGCACTTCAACAGACCGTTATCCTCGGGTCCACAGCCAATCAGTGTTCTCAGAGAAACTGGTCTTGGGCCCCATGCAGTCTTTCCCACTAGTTCCTATACACCCTCCCCAGCCAGTCCCTCATCATATTCTCCCCGGGCCTCACCAGGGCGCCACTGCTGAGCAGAATCATGAAGATGATGAAGGTCTCAAACCAATTGTGCTCCACAATGAGGAAGCACGTTTTCCGCAGGATCCACCAGGACTTGCCCAGGCCTTCTTCGATGTTCACAGTGCAGCACTTGAATCGCCGGACACAACCTGGCACCAGGGGGAGAGGCAGGTCAGACCGTGAACATGCCCCACCCAGCCCTGCCCTCTACTCTATCTCCCAGCCCCACCAGATGCTGCCCCACCACACAGCTGGGAGCACAGCAGATGAATCAGATCATCTGATTTAAGAAATCAGGAGGCTCACAGGCTGAGGCCCGGCTGCAAGGCTGCCAGGGCCCCCTGGAGTTGGGAAGATGTCCCATAAAGTGAGGGAAAGAAAAGGGTAGTCAAGAGGCAGACAGAGCCATGACAGAAAAGGCCTTTCTAACGGAAATTTCTGGACTGATGCCAAGAGAAAGTGGACAAAGAAAAGTTAGATCCCTGGCCAGTGTGGCTAGGTTGACTGAGCACTGTCCCATGCACAGGTTGCAGGTTCAATTCCAAGTCAGGGTACATGCGCGAGTTGTAGGCTCAAACCCCAGTGGGGGGCATGCAGGAGGCAGCCAATTGATGTCTCTCTTGTCATGTTTCTATCTCCCTCTCTTCATCCCTCTCTAAAATGAATAAAAATATATATAAAAAGATTGCCTGACCAGTATGGCTCAGTGGTTGAGCATCAACCTATGAACCAGGAGGTCATGATTTGATTTCCAGTCAGGGCATATGCCCGGGTTGCGAGCTTGATCCCCAGCGTGGGATGTGCAGGAGGCAGCCAATCAATGATTCTCTCTCATCATTCATGTTTCTTATTGAAAGAAAGAAAAGAAAAGAAAAGAAAAGAAAGAAAGAAAGAAAGAAAGAAAGAAAGAAAGAAAGAAAGGAAGAAAGAAAGAAAGAAAGAAAGAAAGAAAGAAAGAAAGAAAGAAAGAAAGGAGAAGAAAAGAAAAGAACCTGGCCAGTTTTTCTCAGTGGTTAGTGCATTGGGTCACTTCATTCCAGTGAAGGGACTGCACCTCGATTGCAGGCTTGATCCCTGGCCCTGGTTGAGGCATGTGCATGAGGCAACCAATCAATGTGTCTCTCTCACATCAATGTTTCTATTCTCTTTAAAAATGAATGGAAAAATGGGAAAAATATCTTTGGGTGAGGATTCACAAAAAAGAAAAAGAAAAGTTAGAGAATAGTTTGAGCAGGGAAAACAGCATCAATTGCCCTCAAGATGAGGAGATGGGGAACAAGGTTCTTGAAGAGAGCCACTGAGTCCTCACCCTCTCATCCAACCAGTATCCCTAGCGACGCTATTAACAGCAAGTGCCCCAAGCCCCCACCCCTCTCCTTGCCCCGCACCTTCTGTGAAGCAAGCTTCTGGGTCCAAGTATTCCTCAGGCTGTTCCACTGGGACCTCTTCTACTTCCGGCTTGATATCAATGGTACTTCCTTCAGAGGAGCTAGTATCATCCAGTTTCTAGATATGCAAGGAAAAGGGAGATCTAGATCAAGAGACTCTGCAGCAACATGTCCACTCCCCTGACTACTCTATACCTTTGGTGTGGATGATGTACTAGCTATAATTTTTCTCCTCAGTTCTTACTCTAAAGTCACCATCATTCAACTCATGATGGGCAAACAAGTACCACAGGGCCTTCCAAACCTGTCAGGACGGATATAACATTAGAACGCACTCACAGATGTTAGTAATGCACCCTAAACAAATGTGGCCATAGGCCGGTCTCAGGGATTCTGCTCACACAGATTAATGGCAGGGAACTACTTGCGGGTGTACTCCAGCCTCTGACCTAGATGATCCAGGGGCCAGGGAGATAGATCCAGGAACATCTCAGGAATCGAGGTCACCTAGGGAAGGCCTAGAATGGCAACGGGGGGTGAGTTGGCTATTCCAGATTCTCTCTACAAAGCCCATAGCTGAACAAATATCTGGAGCTGACAGAGCCCTGTTTGTTCTCACACAGGATCAAGGTTGGTTTCTAGGCTGGGACCTTACATCTTTGCTGCCGTCAGGATCTGATTCGCTGCTAACGTCCTCTGTGTTGACGTTCTCAAAATCGGACTCGCCTACGGCAATGGGCACCCGCACGGTTAGGTTAGGATTGTTGATGAAGGACATGTGGTCCTCATCAATAATGTACTTCTCCACGCTGCTGCCGATGCCGCTGGTGGTGCCATTGCCATTCTTCTGGAAGTCACCATTCCGGTGGATGTCTGCACCGGTGTGGTTGGCGATGCAGTTGGCCTTCTTATCATACATCTCGTCCAGAGGTTTCACTTCATCGGCCTCGCGCTGCTTGAAGTGGGCCTGCATGAAGGCGTGCACTTTCACTTTGGTCCAAGCCACGCCCTTCTTGATACGGATGACTGAGATCTGCAGGTTGTTCATTTCCCCGTCATCATCCGTGGCTGCCAGATTGTCTGCACTGAAGGAGCTTAGGAGCAAGGCCAGGAACAGGTTCAGCACCTGCACCAGTGGCATTAGGAAAAAGGGAGCGTGAATGTAGCACAGTATTAGGTAAGCTGTCCATTAAACTAGGAAACTGGAAGCCTACGGATTTATGTAACACACTCAAGAATTTATGTTGTGTTTTGCTTGGCCCACATAGTGTTTTAAACGCTCACGTTACTAGGTGAGCATTGTGTTTGATTTTTGGTTGTAATATAAGGAGTTTAGCACCTCTTTTCTTGGTTCTTATATAGTTTTACATATGTGTGTGTGCGCGCGCGCGCGCGCGTGTGTGTGTGTGTGTGTGTGTGTGTGTATACACCCTGGTTACCTTTTTTATTAACAGAAAAAGAAATGTCTGTATCCATTTTTGAAGAAAATCTCCCCAAAATAAAACCAAAAATGTAGATATGAATTATTGGGGAACATGAAAGAGTGCATACATGCCAAATGCTCATGAGCAGTAGGTGCCTTGGAGGACCCGTGTTAGAAAAAATAGGCTTGGAGAGCCCTACTTTCATACAATAAATACAATAAATCAGGAAGGTAGAACTAAAATACATTTCATGTCATCTCATTTTAAAAATTAATTTTGTTTTCCTAACATTTATCAAAATAAAATAGTTTTATAAGACAGTGATGGTTCTGTTGTATATCTAAGTGTTAAGCCACCGGATACAATCTTTCCTTCCTTCCTTCCTTCCTTCCTTCCTTCCTTCCTTCCTCCCTTCCTTCCTTCCTTTCGCTCTCTTTTCATTTCCTATTTTACTATATTGGTCATTAAGGTTAATTATTTTTATTAAAACTTACTTTTGAAAAGTGGGAGAGGTGTTCACTTCCTGATTTATACTTGGCCCTTAATTTGTCACACTTCTGAAGAGTAAGGCATATATTTTAAGTGGAGATAATAGTATGTACAGAGTGGGAGGGATGGAAACAATACATGAAATATACATATCTGGATTATCTGGGCCATCTGTAGAATTAAAAAGGAGCATGTTGGTAATATGGGGGGGGGGCGGGGGTGAACTGGAGAGGGCTCTGAAGGCCAAACTGAGGGATTTGAATTTTAATTGGATCCACTATTGGTTCTTGAGCAAAGGAGTCACAGATTATTATACAGATTGAGAAAGCCATTCCTTAGGAACTAGGAGTTATGAGACATATTTGCAGGAGGTGATAAGGGTCTGGATTAGGCTATAGTGATGTCAAATCTTAGAATGCACAAGAATCTCCTGTGGTGGGATGTTTGTTAAAACTACGTAGTTTCTTGGCCTCACCTGAGAGGTTCTGATCCAGTGGATCTGGTATAGGGCCTGGGACTTGACCTTTTTAACGAGTGAAACTTGGACGGTTATGATGTTGGTGGTCTTCTAGAAACACCGGTTGGGTTACAGGAATGGAAAGGGAGGGGCAGATCTTAGACTATGAAGAAAGAAGTAAATACAGAAAAGGAAGGAAGATGTATGAAAGACATCAAACATTTACTGGGAACGGAGAGAAAAGGGTCAGAAGAGACTTACAGTTACAGATTCCTAGAGACTAGATGAGCAGAAGCACTGAGCAAAGGGGAATCTGGGAAGGTGTCATCAGAAGAAAAATAGGTGGCTTTCTCATGTGCTCAGGTATCTGTAGACAGTCATGGAGAGCTGTCCTTGAGACAACTGAGAATGGGGGACTAGGGAAAGTGGGGTGAGTCAGGGCTGGTAACTGCTGACCTTACTACACACTAGTAGGTAATAGGGTAATAGCTGTGTTCACTGAAGGAGTGGAAAAACTAGAGGGATTAGGACTGAGGGAATGGTGGTTAGGAATGGAGAAAGGGAGGGATTAAAACAAAAAAATCACAGAAGAGGGTGGCTATAGCTGGATCTAAGGCTGGTGAGTAGGAACCCTCTACTGGAATGCTTCTCTATTGCAGAACAGGGAAAACTAACATGGATGAGCTTACAAGGGATCCTCTGAGTGTGCCTTCTTCCAGTCCTCCTTGCTCTACACTTACAAGTGGGATTTGGCCTAATCTGAGAAATGGGTGCTCCCACGCACTTTAGTGTGCATGTCAATCATCTGGGGATCTTGTGAAATATGCAGATTCTGATTCAGTAGCTCTGGGGTGGAGCCTAAGTTCGGCATTTGTCACACACTCTTAAGTGATCTCACTGTTGCTAGTCCTCAGACCACACTCTGAGAAACAAGGTGTTAAAACCTGTTGGTGAATGCTCTATGTACAGAGGCAGAAAACAGCAGGCAGAGAGATTGAAGTAAAGCAAGAAAGCAATTTGTCATTTTTACAAATTAAATAAAACCCTAAGATAGTTTAGGTCAGTGGTTCTTAATGTAGGGCAATTTTGCCAACTAGGGGGCAATGTCTGGAAACATTTTTGGTTGTCACAACTTGGGGTTAGGGTCACTACTGGCCAGTGAAGGATTGAGGCCAGGGATGCTGCTAAATATCCTACAATACACAGGACAGTCCCACAACGAAGAATTACCTAACCCAAAATGTCAACAGTGTCAAAGTTGAGAAATTCTGGTGTAGAAGACAGAAAGTTTTGGAGTAGAACAAGTATAAAGTTTGAAGTCTAGGATCTAACACAAGCCCCAACATTTATCAACTATGTGAGTCTAAGAAAAGTCACTTTGCTGAGTTTATTTCCATAATTATGAAAAATGTGGGCAGGTTGTGGGGCTTATGACTCAGTAGGCCTCTGTAAATAGCAGCCTCCTTTCCTTCATTTGTACCTTAGGGTTCTTGGGCCAAGAAAGAATAAAAACCAACACAGGCATGGAAGATACTAGAAGGTCGAAACAGACTGGACTTGTCGGCCAAGATAAGATGTACAAGTTAGTACTAACCACCAAGTTGCCAATGACCATGACCATCATGAAGACGATGAGGCACATGGCCTGGCCTGCCACCTCCATGCAGTCCCACATGGTCTCGATCCACTCCCCGCACAACACTCGAAAGACAATGAGGAAGGAATGAAAAAAGTCATGCATGTGCCACCGAGGGAGTTCGCAGTCCTGGTTGATCTTGCAGACACACTCTTTGTAGCTCTTTCCAAAGAGCTGCATCCCCACCACAGCAAAGATGAAGACAATGATGGCCAGCACCAGGGTCAGGTTGCCCAGGGCACCAACTGAATTTCCAATAATCTTAATCAGCATGTTCAGGGAGGGCCAGGATTTGGAAAATTTG